CTGGCCTTGGCCTGGCCTGTTTCAGTATGGACCCCCCCTCACTCTCCTCCTCTGGTGTCCCCCAGGCTCTCAGCCCCCCCATGGCCAGGATCGCCCCACGGGCACATTCCCCTGGCGCCGATGTCTTTGCCACCCCTCACGGCTTCTTCGTCATCCGCTCTGACATGGGCTGCTTCCTCCAGGCGCCCGAGTGCCACTCCCCTGAGGCTGTGGAGTTCCAGGACCTGCACCCTGCCTGCTGGGGCGGGGAACACTATGTGAGCCTCCCGCCCCCGGCCCGCCACGGGCATATGGGGGCGCGGTGGGTCCGGGCGGGGGCAGCACGGAGTGGGCAGGAGCCGGGTGGGCGGCAGGGGCCGAATCCCTGCTGCTGCCAGGGAGCCCCGCACCTCTCCCTCCCGCTCGCGGCTGCGGCTCCTTCCCGGCGGGACGCGCCTCCCGCCGCCCCAGCCACATGCAGCGCGTGTCCCCCGCGCCTAGTCTCCCTCCCGCCGGGAAGGAGCAGCTGGACGCGCGCCGCATGTGACCGGGGCAGGCTGGGGGGCGCGTCCCGCCGGGAAGGAGCCGCAGCCGCGAGCGGGAGGGAGCGGCACGGGGCTCCCCGGCAGCAGCAGGGATTTGGCCCACGCAGCCCACCTGGCCCCTGCCCGCTCCGCGCTGCCCCCGCCCGGACCCACCGTGCTGCCCCGCGGGCTGCAGGGCTGGAGCAGCCTCCAGGCTGCGCTCCCGGTCCCGGGTGCAGCGGCCCGGGCAGGAGCCCTCTGGCACGGGGGGGGGGGGGGGGGGCTCACAGTTTAGCCCCCCATCTCCGTCCCTTGCCAGCCCCCCTTTGCCCGCCCACCCGGTGCCTGGGTGCCAGAGCTGACTCACCAGCTCCAGGATCCAGGCACCGCCGCCACCCCCTCCCTCCAGGCTTGCCCCGCCATGCTGCAAGCCTGGGAGGGAGGAGGAATGCTGCGTGGTTGGGGAAGAGGCGGGGCCAGGGCGGGGATTTGGGGAGGGAGCCAATGGGGGAAGGAGGAGGCGGAGCCGGGGCGGGGGGGGGCGCGAGTGCCAGAGCGAAGGGCAAAATTTCTTTTTTGTCCAGTGTCCTGACCAAACATTGGTCGGGACGCAGGACAAAGAAGCAAATATCGGGACAGTCCCGATAAAATCGGGACGTCTGGTCACCCTAAGCCAAATGCCTATTGTATTCTGCCCCTGCCTTGGTCTCACCCCCGCCCCCCCCAACAACTGTGAGTGAAATTAACAAGGATGCCAGAAATGGTCCCTAATCCCGCGGAGTGAACAGCTAAATTTAAACTGTTCCAATGCAGGCAGCAGGCGTCCTGGGCAGGCTTCTCCCTCAGCCAGTCCCCCTGCTCCCTGCTGCAAGCTAGAGGGGAGCCGCTGCAGCCCCAGCTGAGTGCGGGGGTCGGGAACACGGAGCCAAGCCCTGTCGGCAGCCTGGCTGGAGGAGGAGGGAGGAGAGAAACTAATGTGACAGTGAGTTTTCCCTTTCCAAGCTTTCATTAGCTTGGAGTTTAAACTGTTTTTGATGCAGCCAAAAGAGGTGAAAGTAAGCCAGCACTGAATGCTCCACTTATTTGCCTGTACGCTGCTGCACCTTTTTTTACCGGTCCTCCATACCAGCCCGTACCGGCTTACTTTCACCTCTGCTGGTACTGCTCTCCAGTGGCTCCTCCCCCTTTCCATTGACAGGCTCCTCCTTCCTCCCCCCATCCAATGCCCCCCTTCCGCCCCCAAGTGTCCCCTCCCCTTGCACCTCCCCTCTCCCACTCCTGCTTCCACCCCCTAACCCTGCCCCATCGAGCCCCTTCTCCATGTTAAGGGGGGTTGATGGCTCATGGAGGTGGGAATGGGACACGGGGCCTTTCCCCTCTAGATGAACTGGGGGGATGGAAATTAAGGAACTAAACCAGTGCAGCTCAACATGCTCATAACAATTGCAGCTCTGTATGAAGACTATTATTACCATCTGATCTCATGCTTCAGGGCTTCCCCTGTAGGGTCAGGCAGGAAGAGTTACCCTGGTGCCCCATTGGCTCCATGGGATTTTTTTTCACCTTCCTCTGAAGCCGCCCGACCCACCAGTCAGGCATCTCAGAGCCCTGGCCCACCCTGGCCCACCTCCAGCTATGGATGATCCGCGATGCTCATCAATCTTACCCTTCTATAATCCTACAATTTAACTCTCTTCAGCTTACAATGATTACATATGCCACGACATGTTAGTTAATCATAAGTTCACACAATAAATGAACAATCGACTAAAACCGTTGGCTAAAATAGGAAGGGAAGAAAGTTTAATTAAACCATCTTTGTTGCAGACAAGATTTGAGTAAAGCTGGGAACAGGAGGAAAACCAGGAGGAGAACAGCTGGGATGAGGTGGGTGAAATTTGGCCAGCTGAGGGAAAGACCGGAAGGGGTAATACTAGGGCAAAGAATAGCATCATGGTGCTGCATTCTCCATCCTCATGGGCACTTAGGGGACTGGAGGCAGCAGGATGCGGTCGGGTGGTTTGTTTTCTTTGGTGAACTGGATGTCTCTGCAGAACAAGATGGGCTCCTGGCCTATGCCGAGCTGGTACTGCCAGATGTGCAAGTTCTTTTGGGGCTCCAGGGTCACCTGGATTGACTCCTCTTCTTCTCGGGCTTCATTCCAGTCCTCCTGTTCCGTGCGGATGCTTCTCCCGCCGTACTCAGCCTTGAGGGAGAACTGGAGCTGGGTGATGAGCTTGGTGAGGTCTCCAGCCCCGATGGACATCTCAGTGGAGATGCTCCAGTTGTGCTCAATGGTGGACATCTTCTGCTTGGCATAGCCCACCTTGCGGGTGACCTTGTCAGACCAGGTGATGGGGGAGTCGGAGTTGTTGTGCAGGGTCTTGATGCACTCCCAGCCACAGGTTGAGATGCCCTTGGTGAGGGTCAAGCCCCCAGGGAAGAAGTTCAGCACGTCGGGGTGGATGGAGAAGAAGGAGTCCAGCTTGTCTTTGCTTGCATCTGGGTACAGGTAGAAATGAGCTCCCCACTTCTCATCCATCTTGATCAGGGCTAGGTACTGATCGATGCCAAAGTAGTAGAGCCCCTTGCAGCATTCAGGATGCAAGACAAAGGTTTTTTCACCTTCAGCTGTCCTCAAATTAGTCACCCAGCGGATTTCACCCTGGTTTTGGAAAATGATGAAGAAGGTCCAACCAGCCCTCCCGTAGTGGTCCCCACCGCGGCACCTGGGATGCAGCTCAAAGATCTGAGCTCCCTTATCTGTGCTCAGGTCCCTCACCACCCGGTAGGAACTGCCCTTGATGATGTAGATATTGGATTCCTGCCTGTTGCCCACATAGTGATCCCCGCCCTGGCATGCAGGGTGCAGTCTCCGGATCTTGATGTCATGCCCCCTCTCAAGGAAATCTTTAGTCTGCAGGTAGCAGCCCAGGTCGGAGCGGACGATGCAGTCTCCATTGTCATCGCGAAAGACGTCTGTGCCCAGGGAGTCCTTCCGAGGGACCAATGATCTAGGGACTAGACTGGAGCCCTGGGACGGGGACAAAGGGGAGGGGGAGAGAGGGGAGCAGTTGGCAGAAGGACCAAGGCAGTTGGAGGAGATCATGTGCACGTGGAGTTGGCATGGGACACAGCAGGGGGCTTCTCTGTTTCTATCAATGGAAAAAAATTTTAGTGACACCAGGAGTGAATCCCTCAGGGCAACAATGACTCCTCTTCACTCACCCCAGTGGGGCTACGGCCGATATACACCAGCTGGAGTATGGCCCATTGACACCACTGGAGCTGTGGCCCATTCACACCAGATGGGGGCTGGCCCAATGGCACCAGTGGAGCTGTGGCCCTTTGACATTAACTCATCTGATCTTATATGATTCTTCTATGTTTGAAGGCCCCCTGGTTCCAAGAGCGACCAGGCACCTGGGACAGGAATTGGGCAGTACTGGAAGGTACTTGCAGTGAAGTCTCCTAGATGTGCCCTGCAGCCCTGTTCCCAGAGGGTGGCATTGTCCTGAGGAAGGGAGGGAAGGAGGGAAGGAGGGAGGGAGGGAGGGGAAAGCCCAGCGTCCTGACCCAGGAGGATCCCATCTCACACGGGTTCCCACTTACCACTGTTGATCTATGTGACTGGGCCATGTCTCCTCCGGCTCACCCTGTACGTATGAAGGGCTGCCCTGTGTGGAGATAAAGAGGGGAGGAAGTATTAACAATATCCTGACCTGTAACTCTGCACCCAGCCAGTAGTCCGTGAATCGAGCGCACAGGCAAACAACGCACCAAAGTTCCCTCAATCCTGACCAGCTGCAGCCCCCTGGTATCCCAGCCCTGTGCTTAACCCTCCCGCCACCTCTGCCAGTGCCCCTCAATCCCAACCCATAGCCCCCAGCTATCCCAGCCCTGGGCTCACCCCACACAGCTCCAACTGACACTCCAATCTGGTAGATGCTCTCGGCCCCGTTGTGGACAGGAGTGAGCTCCTGGGCCGTACCGAAATGGACAGGACCTGAGAGAAAAGCAAAACCAGCCCTGGAATATTCTGAGTGTAAACACTGCAGAGGGCTGTTCATCTCCTCTCCGGTGGCTCCTTCCCCTTTCCACTGACTCTGCCTTCTCCTACCTCCCCCATTCAATGCCCCATTTTCTCCCAAAGTTTCCCTTTCCCATCCCACCTCCCCCTCTCTCACTCTGGCTTCTGCTCTGTAACCCTGCCTCTGTGGGCCAATCAAGCCGCTTCTCCTAGATAAACAGTCCCCAATTCAGGCCACCCCCTTGCTCTGCTCTCTGCCAGGGTCACGGCTGCTTCGCCAGAGGGTGGGATCCCTGCCAGACTCTTATCTGTGTGGTCTGTATTGCAGCCAGCTCCTATCGGCCCATCCATGTCTGCAGCAGTTTGTGGATTTCCAGTGGGGGGAGCAGGACGTAACCGATTGGGGCTGAAGATTTGCCACTTTGTGAGAG